ATAATGAAAGGTGGTGCTAGATAAATTCAGACAGACTAAAATAGGGCTGGAAAGGACCTCAGGAAGGTCATCTAGCCCAGTTTCTCAATCCATGGCTCACAACCCAGAGTGAGTTGCAAGAATATATGAAATGGTTGTGAACAAACTTAAAAAATGGATCAACAAACTTAAAAAAATGGATTCTCCTTTAAAGGACAAAAATGTGGGAAACAGTGGCTTTTCCCTTGCAGCCTGTTAGAGTTCCCCCTATACCCCCCCCACACACACCCACCCCCTCCTCCACACACTGGGGGACTGGGGCCTGGTGGCAGAAGGTCAGGAGTGAGGGGCAATAGGTTGAGACTGGCCATCAATGTTTACAAATGGGTCCTGCTACAAGGACAGCTGAGAACCACTGATCTAGTCCAACCACTTGCCAACTTTAGGACCATCTAAACCAGTGGTTCCTAATCTTTTTTGTACCAGGACCCATTTGTACACACCAATGGCCAGTCCCAACCCAATGACCCTCACTCCCAACTCACTGCCCCCAGGCCCCTAGTATGTGGGGCAGAGGGGTGTGAGGCATGGGGGGCCCTCACAGGCTGGACCTTTGCCAGTATGAAAGGGAAAAGCCAAGTTTCTCACATTTTTCTCCTTTAAATGAAAATCCACTTTTGAAGTTTTATCCATCTTAAAAATTTGTTTGTGGTCCTTTCCTATATTCTTGTGACCCATTTTTGGGTCATGACCCATGGGTTGAGAAATACTGATCTAAGCTACCCCAGGTAAGTGTTTGTCTAACTTGTACTTACAAACTGCCAGTGATAAAGAAGATTCCACGCCCTCTTAAGTAATCTGCTCCAATTCTTTAACTCCTCAAAGATAGAAAGTTCTTCCTAAATTTCCCCTGCTGCAATTCAATTCAATTCAAGATTATTTCTTTTCATCCTATCAACTGTGGACAGAGAAAAGAGTTAATCATCCACTTTATAACAACCCTTTTTGTATTTAGAGATATCAAACCTCTCCCCCAATTTTTTCCCCCAGGCTAAATAGCTTAATTTCTTCCAACCTTTCCCTGTATGTCATGTTTTCTGGACTTCCATAATTTATTTGTTTTTGTTTCCTTTGAATTCTTCCTAATTAATCCACATATTTATTGAAGTGCAGTGTCCAAAATTAGACAATACTACACAGAAGAGGCCCCACCAGTGCTGAATAGGGATAATACATCCCAGTATGCTATTGTGGGGTGTTTTTTTATGGGTAGTTTTTTTGGGGTGTTTTTTTTGTGTGGTGCAACAGTACCATGCAGTTAACTCGCATTTAGCCTGCAAATATAAATATTTAACAGTGAGGGTAATTACCTACAAGAACTTGCTAAAGATTGTGGTGAACTCTCCTTCACTAGAAATCTTTAAATGAACATTGAAAGATGTTTAAAAGATACTTCTAGTCCAAGGTGGTGTTTATTCAGGGAACTCCTATGGCCTGTATTTCATGTAAGATAAGACCAGATGAACATTGGTCCTTCCTCGCTTAATAATCAATGAATCTAGGGTACAAAAAGTTAAATTAATATAAATAAATATTAAATATTGACTTTGACTAAAATCTTAGACTCGGTGCATTAGTAAGCAAACAGATTAATTAGAATCTGTTACTAACTGCAGAGGGTTGCCACCATCCAAAATCTTTCATACATTGCTAACTAGGTCAAAAGAAGCTCTCCATGTGACTCTTCTTACTTCTAACTACCAACTGATTGTTCAATGTAGGTTTCCCAGTCCTATTTACAACTCATCTTTAAAGAGGTTGGTAATAGGATTAATCCATCATTTTTCCATTCATCCTAAATTTGTCACATGCAAGGTTGTTTGTCAGTGATACAAATAATTAAATTACCTATATCACAAGTAACCATTGTGCTTTGGAAAACAAACCAGCTATTCTCATTCCCTTCCCCCTCCACCCTCCTGTCTCCCTTCCCCTGACTACATTCATTCCCCCTTCCTCCCCCATGTCCTGTCTGTCACCTACTGACCACTTCAATTTACATTTTAAACTGACTGGCTTTCTTGCATATGTACTGCCCTCTGGATGCTTTACTCCATCCAGGAAGAGTGCAGACCATCTGCAGATGCTTCCTCAGCCTGACGAAGGGTGTTTGTGCCCAAAAGCTTGCTAAGAAGATTTTTTCCAACTATTTGAGCTGGTTTAATAAAAGAGATTGGATTTACCCAAATAACTCTGTCTGCCTATGTCATTAGACCAACAAGGTTTTAGCCTACACCCCTGAAATTTTGCCTGTAACATTCTCCAGGAAATTGTGATTAGTTACTCATGCCATAATCAGAAATTGCTGGTTTCAAGAAGGTTAAGAGGTGCCTTAATCATGGTCCATAAGTAGTTACATAGGGAAGACCACATTTTAATGTATTCAGGTGCCTAGGAAGGCAGATAAACATGTGGAGCTGTATAATGGGATTTTGGAGCCAGATTGAAAAATAGATACAGGCACCTGAAGTGGGACCTGGGGATGTATAGTCCACCCAAGTCTAGGAGTGAAATCTTAAAAAGCCCTTTCCTAAGGTAATAAGCACAAAAAGTCAATAGTTACCTGAGATTGTACATACAGGATACCTACCTTTCTACACCTAATTCCCACACAAACCCCATCAAGATCTGCAAGCTTCATTTGCTCATCTATTTCCCTCAGAGAGGACTGATCCAGCAGATGTGTTCAGACCATGTATATCAGATACCAACAGCATCAGCTTCAACTTTTATTAAAAACAATACCTCAAACAGTGATGCCTCCCTCCCTTCCCTAGATAATGGCTTAATGGTCAGAACAGTAGACCTAGAAGTGGAAGACGTCCATGAAAGGGGGTGAAACTCACATCTTCCATCTCTCAGAAGTGCATCCTAACCACCAGACTATCAGCTAGGTGAGAGTGAGGGTACTCACCATCCCTTGTTGAAACCCTTTTACCATGAAGGATCTTTACCAAAAAAGATTAATTGAGTTGGGGAAGAAGAAGAAGAAGAGAGGGGCAGAGAACAACTGCCCTGTGATTAGGACGCTCACCTCAGAGGGGCAGTCTGGAGTTCCTGCTTCTGCTCCAAAGGACTGTATTTTAGCCAATTGCTGTTTACTATACAATTGATTACCTGGTAGAGTTAGCTGATTTCTCACTAAATGGAGCTGTGTTTTTGTGACTAGTTTGTGATATTGTCACTGCCTCAGCCACAACAAACAGGATTTTGCATAGAAAAACATTTTTTTCCATTAAGCAACTGTAATTAAACCACATTTGAATCTGGGAAAACAGAGCAGCTATGTCATAGGCCCCGGACATGACATAGAATGGTGGCAGGGCATATACATGGAGTGGTGGCAGTAATTAATACACAAGACTGTGTGCAATGGTTATTCTGTGGTACAAACAACGAAGAAGAACAGGCTCAACTGTCTAGACAGACAGTTTGGGAAATTCTGTCTACCTGTGAAAACCTAGTACTAATGATACAGTATAAAGACAATTGTGGGCTAGGTTAGTATACTGACAAGGGCAACACAGAGTTAGATGTCACAGTTAGAATGACGTTGAGAGCCAAGCATAACTATAGATGCTAAAATACATGGTTAAAAGTTGATATTATAAATAGGGCCTTGTGCATAAAAGATTCCTACTCCTGCCGTATAGCTTCTAAACTTACCAGAGCTTTGACTTTGCCTTTAGGCTGACTCAGAAACAACCTGATTCATTTTTGATTAATTACTGTTTACTATAGTGAAGAGTATGTGTGTGTGGGGTGGGGTGAGGAGAGGAGGAATAGCCTTGTCCCAAGACTGCATAAGCTGCAAAATCTGTCCCAAAGATCGTTACCTGTGGCTAAAGACTGGGTCTTTGTGCTCATACACAACCAGCACAAGAGTCTAGTCTTTACTAGGATGCTTCTGTACCACTATACTTTCAAAATAGTAATTAACTGAACATTAAAAAAGGACAAATGATACCAACCCCCACAAACCTTGAACAATTAAAATTGCAAGAAAAACAGTCTAAGAATCATGATGAGAGTCCCCTTTTAACACCACTCTATTCATTCTTTCATGATGAAGTTTTGTTTTCAAGCAAATGACCTTCCTTCTAATTAGTTATTTAAATCCTTCACTCATCATACATAGAAATTATTCACACTTCCTTCTGGGCATGATTACAGTTGAAGGTCTTATCTATTGTTAGTAAATATCCTGTTTTTCCCATGTTCTTCTGAAAACCAATATATATTATTAAAGACATCAAAGCTGTTCTATCAGAAGCACTGCTATGGGCAGTAGAACCACTTTCATGAATATGAAACTTACTAAATCTCCCAACAGGAGACACTTTGGGCATAACAACTATGTCAGAAAAAGCAAGGAGGAAATTTTAAATACTAAAGTTAATGCAATGCAACAGTAAAATCAGGAGTAACTGCTTTGTGACACCATTAAGAGTTGAAAGAACAGCCATTTTGCTGCCTGGACTTCTTTCAGCAATTTTGCTGATGTGAATTGTCCCACTGCTTTTGAGTGTGTTTCTGTGGCTATGGAAAGCAGGATTTGGCCCCCAATTATAAAACAGCCACAGAACATGGGACTGAAAAGAACCACCTAGTTCACGAAGCCCACACCTTCACAATTACAGACAGTATAATGCATGTAATGGGCATTATGTCTAGAAAGGTATATAACTTTCATCCCAGCCTTCCTTTCTCATGCACTAGGAGGCACAACACATCTCATAATACTCTGTAATAAACTTACAACCTTTGTTACAAGCAGGGCCATCCCTGTGGGGAGGCAAATCAGGGCAGCTGCCCCAGGCCCTGCAGAGCCGGGCAGACAGGCCATGGCTGCAGTTTAGCCCACCTGCCCGCCTAGCAGGTTGGACGGCTCTTTGCCTGTTCCAGCCAGAAGTTCCGTCTGCCACCCGTCCCACCACATCTGGTGTGCCAGGGCTTTCACTCCCAGGAGTAAGTGTGCCATGGGATGGGGAGGGAGGCCCCGCACATGCTGCTTTGCCCTGGATCCTGCACCCTGCTGAGATCATCTCTGACTGGGATGATCTAGCTGGGGATGATCCTGCAGGGGGCTGGACTAAATGACTTCCTGAGGTCCCTTCCTACCCTAATTTTCTATGATTCTATTGTTGTGCTATTTCTAACTTGCCAGATAAGAGATTCCATAGCCACCACATGTAGAAAATCTATGTCCATTTTAAAGGTTAGAACTTACGCCTGACCATGTCCTTTCAAATGTTATCCTTGACTTACGTTCTGTTTTTTTATTATTATTATTATTATTGGTTGGTTGATGATTTTTTTTTAAACTGTTAGACCATTTGATCTTTAAAATTAACAACTTCTGTTACCTTGGTGCAATTCCAAATCCATCATAAACTTCAAACAAAGACAAAAAGGTTACTAATGTTTGCTATTTATTTCATTAAGTCAATAAAAAGTGCATAGTACAAGCCCTTTTTTCCCCAATCCAAGTACTCAATAAAAGATTAACAGGAAACCCTAAATGGCACAGAGACAATTTTTGTTTGGCATGATTCAGACATTTTAAACCACCAATTTACATTATCACTTTTCCTTTTTCAAATATGAACATTACAGGCTAGGTGATCAGCAGACACTATCTGAGTAACGCAACTTTTAATTTCAGAATAGTGGTGTTAAGCAGACTCTAAAAATACTACTGCTTTAACAAGTTATAAACTAAAGTTATAAACTAAAGTATAACTGTAAAATCTCATCTTTCTTCATGTCACTAAAACATGTCTCTCTTAAGTAGCTGAGTTTAAAGTAATTAAATATGCAACTGATCACATTCTAAAGCTTTGCATATCACAAATTTCTTTCAAGCTTCCTCAAAATTTACTGTGTACAATTTTGTAACCATGATAAATATTTCATTACATATTGTACTGATTATGGCTGCATTTTGCCTCTCTCAGTAATGTTGCTAGTACACTATTAAGAGGACAGTTCCACAGATTATAATGGAACTGCTTGCTGACACAAGTACTATTTAACATGAATAAAAGTGGCAAAATACAATCATATGAATAAATTACTTTTACTTTAAGCAGTAATAATGACATGAAGTTTATATATTGAAGAGAGTATCACAGAATTTTAAAAGATACATGTGGTGACATGGGATAGTGGCCTGGCTATGTACTAAAACATTTTACATAGATTTAAACATTTAAAATAGATTTGCAATGTTTCTCTTTTACATAGAAAATTTAAAACAGTATTCTCATAAGGAAAGTATATATGTATATAAAAACTTTTGGATAAACTTAGAAGAATTTAAAGAAAAAAATGAGAGGAATTTTAAGAAAACCTGTTGATGAAATGCACACACAGATTAATAAATTTTTCTGGTCATAATGTATAGAAAACACCGAGCCATAAATCTGCCAAAATCTTTGAACTGGGTGCACAAAGTTAACCTTCTAAATACATATTTAGGCACTTAAATATAAAGATTATGATTTTCAAAGGTTCTAAGTGCCTGCAAGTCTTACTGACTTCAACAGGCACCAGCATTGTTCTGTTTCTTTAAAATAAAGCCCCTTCTAGGTATATGCTTAACTATGGAAATGAAGCCCAATTTTATGCAGCCAGATTTGAAGACCTTTGGCCATTTATTCTCAGGAAACTGCCAACATGGTAGATTGCATACTTTTGTGTTGGTTCAACAAAGAAAAAGATGACATATTACCTACCCTGTTCTAAAGTTCTCAAACAAAAATGCACAAGGAAGGCAAAAACTAGCACAGTTGGACTGGGTATCCCAATGAGGTCCTTAGACAATCTTTGTGGCCCAGAATGACATTAGTTAACATTAGGATAAGTTCTCTCAACTACTCTTCTGAAATTCTACTGTCTTCAGCATGTGGCATTAGTGTAATTAAGAGAATCTGGCCCAATATTATTTTACAAGTGCTCCCAACTATAGGTTGTGAACACATTGTTCCAGAGAAGTTCAATGGACAACCACTTGCATCAAATTATAGAAGTCTTTCTTCAGGTCCATGCTATATTTTTACAAGAAGGTTTGGCTGACCTGCTATTTATTTACCCTGAGGAAAAGAAACTTGTATCTGGTAACAAAAGGATCCAACAAGGTGCTCTTCTAAGGCTCATTAATGCAAACCATTATTAATGTTAGGAGTCCTTTTGGCTACTCACATGAGTAAGATGACTTACGTGAGGAAAGGTTTACAGGATAAGGCCCTTAATTCTCCACAGATTGGTTTTACTGACCTTCATGGAAAGAAGCTTCACAGACAACTACTAACATAAAAGAATCTTGATGTTATCCTCATCAATTTTTTAATTGATCAAGAAAAATATACAATGTTACTTTTCTGTACATCTTTAAAATGTTCTTAAATTACTTAATGTACATATAAAACTCACTCCCATTAGGTAAAATGGAAGATGCACATATGCACACATCCACGCAAGCAAGCATGAAAGGGAAAAGATATGCCCTAGATCTTAACCTTTGTTTTTTTTATTGTACAATCCAATTGGAAGTAAAAAAAGATCAAAACTTTAAGTATTACTAATTATATGTACGTCAAAAGCAACTTATAAGTAAGTGGCATATTCCTGAAGGCAATTGTTTGGTATGTTTTCATTCTGTTAAACAGATAATGCATTGGGGCTAAAGACTGTTAAGATACTGATTAAGATTATACCCAGGACAGAACATTGTTTAGGATAACTGTCATTTAATTTGTCATTTTATCAAGTCTGTAAAGAATTACTTCAGTTTTAGAGTTTAGTATATGGTTGTTCAAGTTTTAGTTGTCTTTAACAATATATTGAATTCTAATTCATCTCATTTAGTGGCACATGCAATTCAGTGTTTGGAGATATAATATTCTGTTTTAGTCCCTAATATTTAAGCCAAGGTTTTGACAGCAGTAACACTCATATGGACTTTAATTCCAGTAGATGATCTGTGCTTTGGCAAACAACTCTGAAAACTAGTTAAATTCAGTCCAAAGACTAAACAAAAGGCTGCTTTGAGCAGCAAGGTAAATATAAAATAATTTTATTTTTTTCCACCACAAAAAACTCAACTTAATGACTGCAACTAATAAAGTAACTTCCAAAAATAAGGGGGGGAGGGAAATGTGACTAAATCTGAAAAATAATCAATAAAATTCTATGAATATAAAAATGCACATGGATTTTAACTCTCTTTCAATTAAGGCCAGAAACCACTGCAAAGAAATTATGATCAGTGTAACAGAAAGAGTGGAATGTCCACAGTTACAACAACAACCAAAAGACCCCCCGTAGCTCCTTATCATTTATTCAATGGCAATAACATATAAAGCAAAAATTAACTTTAAAAGTGAAATAGCTACTAGCAGTTTATGGAAATAACATCTTGCTTTATGTAAATGCAAAAGGAAAACAGTATTGAGTGGGGTTTAGGAGTACTCCAGTCACTTTCGTTCATTTGGTCGTGCAAGATTTAGTCGCTGAACATTTCTGGTATTTTAAAGTTCTAATCCACAGGTGGGGCAGGTGGTTCTTGTCCCTAGTTGCATGAAAAAGAAAACAGCATTAGATTAGAAATGCTTGTCTACAAAGAATGACTTGCCAAAACAGTGGACAAAAGGAGATATGCTCTCCCTGCTTTTAAGGTTCTCCTCCATCTCCTTCAACATTTGAAACAAGCTCGCAGCAGTAGCAATCTTCTTCTTACTAGAAGGTATTTTTCAGAGCCCAAGAGGATTCCCTCCCACAGTACTGTTTATTATTCTTCCTCCAGGATCCTGTGCTACCAGGACTGATCTTCCCAACAAGCTCAAGAAGGCCACTCCAAGTAAAGGCAGTTGAAAAGTATTACTGGAGTCCAGAGGATGTCATCACAGACCCTCAATACCTTATCTCTGCTCTTCTGCACAGCAACTTCTATGGATTGTCTCAGTATTCTACTGTACTTTCAAATTGATTTTTTTAACATTAAATGTAGCACTAAAATAATGAAGTAAAAGTAGAGAAAACAGTTTGAGAAAACACCCTGATTAATGTAAGGCAGTATACTTTTAAGAGTTCATTACTATATTATTTCAGAGAACCTAGACATGAGGCACTTTAAGATACAAACAGACTTACGCTATGTGGACTGGTGGGCTTTCCAACTGTGTTGGATCCTCTTAGATTACTAGGTCTCAGCAAGAACAACACAAATGCAATAACCACCCAGGCCATCATTATCATGGCAAAGCTGACGCTGTTGTCACCAGAGGAATTTGGTCCTGGCACTACAAGGAGAGAAGACTTTATTAAAAGAAGACATGAGAAAAGAGTCCTTTTATCAACATGAAGATGTAAACAAAGCATAACTCTCAAATAGAACTAAAAGAGGTTTTTGGTTCACAACCATTAAATACTCAATCTGTTTGCCTTTAAAGAGGAATAGCTTATTGTAAGATTGAAGCTGTTTTCTACCTGCCTTCCTCTGCCCATAGCAAAAAAAATGTCCTTTTTTGGGTAACATTGTAGTAAAATTCCTTGCACGTAGAATATTTCATGGGTGGGTGAGAAGCAGCATACAGGAGTGGAACAGGCAGGTGGGGTTGGAAGGAGTGTCTAGGAGCTGGATGGGTGGGTGGGGCCAAGGCCAGGGCCAGGGCCGGGAATGTCCGGAGAGTAAATTGTGGCTCTACCTCAGGTCCTGGCACGAGCCCTACACTGTCACCACCCTGCAATCCTGGCCCTGGCCCCACCTCCCCATTCCACTCCTTGATGCTGCTTTCCACCTACCCGCATCCCCATCCCATCCCATCTGCCCAGCCAAGTATGCCCTGCCCATAGGGATCCCAAACCAGACTTCATGGAGACCCAACCCACCCAACTACTTTGTCTGGTGCCCCCAGACTGGTCTAGTAATCTACCACTTAGGGAGCTTTGGTGAGCTGCTGCAGGGGGAGGAGGTGCTGACTTGGTCTGCAACAGCTCACCAAAACTCCTTAAGTGCCCGCCCCCCCCCCCCAAATAATTGTCCACCCCCCTCCTAAGACCACAAAAAAGGTATGGATGGAGATGTTTACCATTGATATGATACAAGGGGGAGTAGTGTGCAGCATGAACTAATGAAAAACAGAAGCTAGACAATGTACTATACTTACATTCATAATAGAATCCCACTTTCAATACAACATGGCTGGGACTTCAGAATAGGTTCCTAAATCTGAAAAATTGGCCATGAAAGGACAGCTGGCCACCCTAGCTGGGAGAGGGAAGTCCCTAAAGCCTCCTAAAGATCTGATTATTTAAAATTTGCAACATTTTTCTGGTGGAACATCATTTCAAATAATCAAGTTATGATCAATGGTGTCAATTGAAATGCTAAACCAGCATAGTTCACTATTTACAGTGCTTATATGGCTCCCATCAAAACAGCATCTGAACACCTCACAATCCATATTATACTTATCCCCACCATACCTCTGTAATCAATATCTGAAAACTTGGAAGGATTTTATGGACATCAGTTCCAGGAAACTGGCTCAATCTGGAATTAAAAGATACAAAACAGATGGCCACTAGAAAACACAGGTTTGGACTCCTGCCCTCAGCCAAAACAGACAAACACGGTCTCTTCCTGGCCTGTATAGCCTTTTATGAGGAAGGCGTTGTGGCAATATATTAATGGTACAATTGTTTAAACAAAAAAAAAAAGCCAGTTGCATTAGTAGTGTTTTAATGGCGAAGTTCTGGTTTGTACTCAAAGGGAATGAAACAGTTTCTACAGAGCAGCGCAGGGAGACAAACTTTCATAACATGTCCCTGATATAATTTAATTGTACCTTGGTTTTGAAGTGTAGACAGAAAAGCCACATTTTACTCCTGTCCCCAAATCATGCTCAGCTCTAGAATTTTTCAGAGCTACAGCATACGAACTCATTACAGGTGTGTGTGTGCCTACATATACTGCAGGGTCAATTTAGGCTATGGGCTAAGCTCAGGGCACTGGTGGGTAGGGGACGGGATCAAACACAAAATGAATCATCAGGGGCCACCAGTATACCTCTATGTGGCTTGCTTCTCTCTCCTTGCCTTACAGGAGGTGGTGGAAGAGTTGAAGCCAAGGGCACAGAGGAATGTCAAGACACTATGCCAGCTGAAGCAAAGGACTGAACTAGCCCATAGGATGTTCTAAATTATTTTTGGGGTCATTGGTGCACCCAGTAATCCAAGGACTGGGGAAGCAGACTGACTGCTCACTGCAGCTGACCCAGCCTTAACTTGTGCTTTTCAAGTATGCTTTCTTGTTGTTATTTCAAGAACAGTAATGCCTGCAGCATTTAAGGACCCTTTTTCCTATAAAGCATTAATTTCAGTGGGTTCTCCCTTTTTGTTAGCTCCATAGCTTTGTAGTTCTTGTGTTCGCTGTTGGTACTCACCAGTCATGGCTCTTATGGCCTATTCTCTTGGGTACAGAGTACTCGGTTCATACACACACAATCAACAAATCTGCTAGATGGATCAGCAAGTCTGCTACTTACACCGTTTTGGTGTGCAGCTTCCTGAAGAGCAATGTGGACAATTTCTTGGGTGAAAATATGATAAGCCTTCATCTTTACACAATCTTCCAGCCTGTATTTCATGCTGGGCCTATTTCTTCACAATCGAAGATTTTAGCTGATTGTGAAGATTTCTTCACAATCTAAGATTTTTTGGACAGTTGTATAACCAAAATGACTATCTTAAATGCCTTTTGACCATTCCTTTGTCATAATAAGGGCTCAGCCTTATGAATGAGGAAACGAGGCACATGATATAAGGGGGTACAGCTCATTGTAGCTAGACTTAATATTTGCCACTTTACAATTAGCATGCCTGCTTCTCTCTCATGATCTGGTCTCTCATACTCTGTACAATGGTTAAGGAACTGAATTTAGCAACTGTTCTTGAGCATTTTGTTGCTGAAGAAGGTTATAATACAACACATATGGATGGCATTTGGATGGCACCAAATGTCTTAAAAATAAATTCGAACTCAGTCTAGACAAAACATCAATTGTCCTACCCTGGGTTTGGCTCCATTCCCACTGCCTAGTCAAACCATGCCAGATCCAATAACTGAATTTACATTGTGCTCCAGCATGGTAGTGTAATTTCATTCTTTTACAAATGCCCACATGCCTCAGTTAGGGAAGTGGTGCAATCTTTCATAATCTTTTACTCAGGAAACGTCTTAACAGAAGAAGATACATTTTTCCTCTAAGTTACAGCCAATAGGGGAACAGGAAAGATGAGATGGAAACAAGTATTGGTAATATGTAAAAAACAGACAACTGTTCCTATCCTTTATCCAGTGGTGTAACTAGGACAAGGCAAATGGGGCAACTGCCCCAGGCACCTAGTTAAAAGTGGGGGAGGGGGGCATTAAAACAAACAAACAAAAGAACTGCTACTGCTGGCAGCTGCATGATCACAGTTGTGACTGTGGCAGCAGCTGGAAGTCACCACTTCTGTGTTCCTAGTACATGGCTGTGTCCCTATGCTTGCAGGCTTTTCCACATATGAACTGCATCACCATTACCAAGATGTCACAGTATTTGGAGAAGATTACTCCAATTGAGAAAGAACAGACAGCTGAAATGGGCAACATAATAGTTTTATGCTGGTGGGCAAAGGATGCAGCCCCTGGTTTAGGAAGGTTTCTAGATGCTTTGCAGATGCTAAGCTGTCACACAGCAGCACCTGTAACTCCTATCATTGTCAGTTTGCTAGGAGACTCCAGCTGCTCTAGCAGATGCTCACCTGGTCTCAATTATACATGCCTTTCACTATCTCTGCTACAGAAATGTGATATATTTGTACTTTCAATAAACAGTCTTACTGGAAATGCCCAGCAATAGCAGTG